AGGTTACTTTAAATAAGGATTAAGCAATGGTTTATAATATTTTCATCAGAATTTTTAATTTGCGAGATTTTTGACTGTTGGGATTTTTGCCGTCAATTTTTTGTTGTGATTATGATCTGTCTGAATTTCGCTTGTCAGGATTTTGACCCATACCCTAAAAATCTTTCATTGTATAGCATTTTCTTTTTGTATAGCACTCTTTTTCTCACACAGTATCCTTCTGGGTACTGTTTAAGCTTCTCTGAAGTTTTTTGAATATGACCAGAGGTACTATAGGTGGCACTAAACTTTAGGGTAACTAATAATTTAAAAAAATATAGCTAGGATGGTAAAATATTAATGCCGTATCGTTGCGAAATAATGCTCCAGGTGTTATTTCAAGACAAAAACTTTAAAACGAGTTAATAATTAATTTTGTCGAAGATTTTTTTTAAACTTTAATATTTATTTAGTAGTAAAGTTTTAAAAAAATCTTCGGCAAAATTAATTATTAACTCGGTTTAAAATTTTTGTCTCAAAATAACGTCTCGGGGTATTATTATGCAACGATACAGTAGATTCATTTTATTATAAATTATCTAAATTCATTTTAACAAATTTTAATTATAGAAATGTGGATACAATGTTACCGCTATAACTATATTCGTGGTACAAATACCAACAACTATATTGAATCATATCATAGAAAAATTAAACACGTCTATCTTTTAGCACGTATTAATCAACGTGTTGATTTTCTTATTAATGAGTTAGTGGTGAATGTTTTAAGAGATTATCGTGAAGAAACCATCAAATATGAGCTAAATGTTGGGAGAATGGGATCACATCATAGAACTTGGCGAAAGTTTGAAATAAATTCAACTAGTGTTAATGATAATTCGATTTTTCGTTTACACGAATCTATATTTATTATTAAATCTGATCAAAGCAAATATGATTATATTGTCGAACATTATAATGATTACTTTGCTTGCAATTGTGAAGCATATATAAAAAACACTACTCTTTGTAAACACATATTTGCTGTTTCGCGTAAGTATAATATCGAATTATTAGAACAGATCACTTATTTACCTTTAGATTATGAAGAACAACTTGAAAGCGTTGATGTTGATCAAAGCGAAATCTTGGAAAAAGTCAATAACTCTATTAATCAACAAATCGAACGTTTAATATCGCTTTACCAAAAAAGTAATTTGGATGATAAACCTTTGGATGGAAGAAAAAATATCATTAAAAAGCTTGAAGAAACATGTGCTCTTTTTTTATATAATTAGGTAACAAATTACTATTAATTTATAAAAAAATATTATTAATAAAATTCTCAATATTAGAAAAAACAGATTAGAATAAAAATATCTTATCTTATCGGTTTCCCCTTAACAGGATGCCCTCATCAGTCTTCTTATTATTGCAACATTTACGAAATATAAAGATCGAAACCTAAAACAGATCCTATTTCAAAGCTTAAAATTAAACTAATAATTAAATG